TCCTGAAGATAGGTTGGACCCAAGCCATTATGCAAAGCTTTCTTGATCTGGTTGTTTCATTTCATATGTTCATAGTGTTGCTTTTAGAAAAAGTTTGCTGAAACACATTGAACTGCTCTTATTTTTGTGAAGAACTCTATTCTCTATTCTTTCCATATTACTTTCCATATTACATATGCCCTTCAGGGATGACAATCAGGAAGCAGAATTTAGAGACATATTAGCTGTGTTAGTCTGGAATATAAGTATGCAAAGGGATCTTTGAAACTAGGGAGCTTATCGCACACCTTACCTCTTCTGGGTTTAATCCTTGATCCAGAATACACCTGGATGTTATCACACATAATTTGCTGCCAATTCTACCATGATGCCACCGGCCACATTCAGCCCAGGTCAAAGCTGTGTTCAGCCAGCACTTTTTCAAAAACAGAAGTTTTCCATGTTTAAAAATTGGCCAGCTGAACACTCCTTGGATCCGGGCTGGATGCGGCTGGCAGCATCACAGCAAAATCGGTGGCAAATTATGCATGATAACATCTGGGTGTATCCCGGATTGAGGACTGAACCTGGAAGAGGTAAGACGCCTCTTTCAGGTGTGTGATAAGTTCCTATGTAAAAGAAGTTGTAGTATAAACCTTCATAGATGTAGGTCTACTTTCTCATTTAAGTCTACAAAAACTTGTGCTACAACTTTTTTCATACAGCCAGTCTCAATCCCTTTGCAATTAGGAAGCAGCTTTTTACAAGCCTGTGTTCTACCTAAATACCAAATGTAAGTATTTATTTCAGTAAGCCATGAATTTCTCTGCAAAATTAACATATTGACCACATTCACAAATTAAATGATCCCAAAATCCAAAATACAGGTGGTTGGTTAATTTTCTGTTTATTCTTTTGGTTCCACTATGTAAAATGAGAAGCTTTCCAACCCGCAAATAGGGGACATTACTTAAAAAGGGGCCATAGCTGAGCACATCCCAGGTCCAGGCTCTGGCACCTCCAAAGTAATAGAAAAGGCTGTCATCTAAAGCCGAAGCAAGAGCTATTGCTAGGGGGCATAAACAATACAGATATAGATGGGCCAATGACCTGCCTCAGTGCAGAGCTTCAAAAGTTACCTTTGGGGGCTACAGTTCCCACAATCCCCAGCTGGCATAGCCAATGGTCCAGTAGTGTAGCATAGCTTTCTGTGTATTTTATTCGCAAATAAATGCACTTAACACAGGAATAGTGTTATTTTCACACATATATTTATTTATATATACATATATAAAATGAAAAGGTTCGTAATAATTACATTTCAAGAAATTTAGCAATTTTCTAGAATGCTAATAAAATTGTTCTGACCATATAAGCAGGATTTGGAATGAATAAAGTGGTATTTTTTTCTTGTTTATGACTGTTGTAAATAAGTGGTAGCATAACAGTACTGATAGTGATGCTGAAGAATATTAGCAGCTAAAGTGTTTTAGGGGATTTTTAGTTTCCCCCACAGCTAGCCCATTGCCACATGAAAATATATAAACATATTTAGGTTGAATCTGCACAGCAGTAATAATGTAGTTTGACACCACCTTAACTATCATGGCTTCATCCTATGCAGTCCTGGGATTTGTAGTTGCTGTGGCACAACAGCTCTGTGACAAAGAAGGCTAAATATCTCACAAAACTACACATCTCAGAATTCCATAGCATCAAGCCATTGCAGTTAAAACAGTGTCAAACTGCATTATTTCTGCAATGCAAATTTAGCCTCACAAACTTAGAAATGTGTGGTCCTGGAAGGTACTAGTAGCTGTTGTCTAGTGGTAGCTGTTGTCTAGTGGGCACAACGTCAACAATTAAAACTTGGTGCTCTCTCACAAGGCTTTCATACACAAGAGTGTAAGCATTATTTATATTTAAGATAATCCGCTGCAATGCTAACTAGATACTGATATTTTGTATAAACATGGCAAGAACTGCAAGAGAATATGTCCATTTCTTGAGTAGCCATGAACAGCACCAAATGTTAACTGCAGGCATGCATCTACACTTCAAAAATCATGCAGTTTGACACTACTTTAATTGCCAAGGCTCCATCCTACAGAATCCTGGGATTTGTAGTTTTGTGAGGCACCAGTATTCTTTGGCAGAGAAGGCTAAAGATCTTGTAAAACTACAGACCGCAGGATTCCATATGATGGAGCTACAGCCCTTAAAGTGATGTCAAACTGCATTATTTCTACAGTGGAGGTATCCACCATATAGACCTTCTGAATGTCAGGTTCTGTCCTGTCACTTTCAGAACATCCTTAGGGAATGATTTCCATACTGCTGAGCATATTAAAACAGCCTCTTCTTCTTGGGCAAAGTCTTAATGCTAAGCTCCAGGGGGAAAAAATGGAAAGCAAAAACCTATTATGCTACCATTTTAAACTGAGCCTCACTGATATAAGAGGAAATTAGTACTAAGTATCAAGTAATTGATGTCCAAATACAAGTAAATGGCAGTGAGGACCAAAAATCACATATGCAACTATATACCTGCTTGATAAACTTCATAGATGTGTACTCATGAATGACAATGACATCCTTAGATCTACCCTGCCATCTTGAATATACCCTAGTATCAGATTCTGGAAGCTACGCTAAGCAGGGTCAGTACCTGGTTAGTACTTGGATAAAAGACCAACAGAGATCTTCAGGTGGGGCTAGGAAAGGAACCTCCCTGAAACTCTAGGCAAGGTGGATGAAGCATCTAACTCAGTATCAGAAAGCTTCCTACGTTACTCTGAGGGGACAAACTAGCTGGCCTGGAGAAACGGAGAGAAGCAGAGGGGGTCAAAGCTTTAATAAAACAACAGTGGCGATCTGCAATCACAATTACAATTCCTCTGTTATTTTGGAGAATGAGGAATTTAGGGAAGGTTACTCTGCAGAAGATGAAAACAGTCCACTATCAGACAGTCA